GATATTAACTTTGAAACCCCCTAATAAAAATACTATTGAAAAAATCCTACTTATTTTCGAAATGCGCCACTCATTTGTTAATTTTGAAACCCCCATTGTAAAAAATATATATTCTTTTTTTATGAAGGCTTTCACTACAACACTTTATATTTTTTTACATGTGCGTACTTTGTTTTTAAGCATAAAATATATATATTTATAAACAAAAAATATTTATAATTTACAAAATATTGTTCTGCTAATTTATTATTCAATCAAATGAAAATGAAACAATTCATCATTAAGCAATAAGCAAACCCATAAAGAATATATGGCTTTAAAAAAAACAAAAACAAACAGCATCACACTAAAACTAGATTTATGTAATTATTTGATCGTAATTCGACCCATTGCTTCCGTTTTTCCGCGTGGAATCTTTCACAAAAGTAACGTTAAAAATCTAAAATATTCAAATTTTTATAAACATTATTGTATTTATAAATACAGACCTTTAATTCAAGCAATCCATCCTGATAATTTGCGTCGATATCTTCTTTAGCAATGGAAATGTCACGAGGCAAATAGACGTGTTTTCGGAAGCGCCCAATGTTACGTTCACGAACACGCGATGTAGCACATTCATAATTAAAGCCTTTGGAATCACCCTGAACAATTAGTTCACGATCACGAAGATCGATCGAAATATCTTCTTTAGGAACACCCTATTATAATAAAAATTAAAGAAATTTTAAAATGATTAAAACAATTACTTTGCGTGTCTTGAAACTTACGGGTAAGTCAATATGGACAATAAAGTAATCAGAAGTCTCAAAAACGTCAGTGGCGGGTCTACAAATACAAAAAAATTTTTTAGAGTATGAAAAAATTTCAATGGTATTAAAAAAAAATTGATCCGAGAACCTCCAAACAACGTCTCCTTCTCTCTCAGTCATAACACGCGAATCAACGTGACGCGGTATGCGATCCTGAATAGGCACACGACGTCGTGCTTCTCGATCGCCCCAGCCTGTTCTATCCCATCTATCACGGTTTCCCCATCGATCACGATTCCACGATTTATCAAGTCGATCGGAAGGTGTAGTCAAATCATTCACAAAAACATAAGGAAGACTCAAATCAAAGGTTGGATCATAAAAAGGATCCAAAAATCTTTCGAAAGGATCAAAGAAGGCCATGATTTAAAAAAGAAAAATTTTTATATCAATTTGCTTTACGTTGATTTTTGAACATTAGTCCTTTTTATACTGATAAAAATTCAATAGGTAACTTTCGTAAAGTTTACATAATGATCAAGTAATTTTTTTTCAAACTAATAAAATACATAAAATTTACGTCATTATTGTTTTATAGAGGAGGTTACTTTAATATATTAACTTTGGGTAAAAACAGAACAAGTTATTACATAGTTTAAATAACCTTACGTAAATCTTTATCATTTGTAATTATGTGAAAAATCATCGTAATAATATTTAACCATTTTATATTCAAATGTTAGCTGATGATATCTAATTTTATTAATAGCAAAACTTTCACATATTTCTTTTGACAAGAGCAATAACTCACATTCATCTTTACCGAGTTAAACAATAATGCAAATTTATGATCTCTCGATCTTTTTAACCGCGATGGACGTTTTTATAAGAACGATTTTTAATTAAAGTCAACATTAATGTAGATTCATAATAAAAGTTTTATTTATATTAATCTGCTATTACAGATTGGTTTTCCTACAGTATATCGAAGATTTTTAAATAGAGTTATTTATACGTACGTTTTTGCTTTTTCTTGATACACTATTAGGTTTGTTGTTTCAGAGTTGTTCTGGTCTTAAACTTTTAATGCTCTTTACCAAAAAAAATAAATAAATTTTATTTTTGTTATTAATAATCAATTCTTCCTTTTATATAAAGCGCGTATTGAATATTAATTTTTTTTTTTTAAGGGAGGTTTTTTTCTCAGTTCCTTTATTATTTATTATGCAATGAATTACAACTAGTTGTTTATATAAATTTTTTGGAAAGTGGGAATTAAGCTACTTTACTTCAGATCTAAACCTTAGCTAGGTAGGTCAAAAACCTCTAGACAATGTATTTAAAATTAGTGTATAGTAGTTGATATAGGCAAGATGAAAAGTTACTATATCATGGGGTATGATGAGGTTTAGATGTGGGAATATTTAGTATACAGTATAATCTCGATATAACAAACCTCAATATACCAAATTTGGTATTACAGAGAAGATTTTTTTTAGCTAAAATTTTTTATTACAAAAATATCTCAATACAGTATAATAAATTTTACTTATAAAACCTTAATATACTGTATAATAAAGAAAAATTTTTTTTATTTATAATAAAATTACCTTAATATAACAAATATCTTAATAAAGCAAAATATTTATAGTATAATGAAACTTTTGTATATTGAAACACATTATATAAACCAAATGTTTTACAAAATATATATATATAATTTATTATATTAAGGAAAATTATTTATAAACAGAATATTTTATAAAATTATATATATAAAAATTTGTTATATCAAGAAACTTTGATATATTAAAATATAGATATAATTAGTGCTCGCCAAAATCAAATAAAAATTTGACGATCAAATACTTAATAAATATTTGACGATCATAATTTCCAAATC